GTGGGAAGGAGCCTGTGTGGGAGAACAGGAAGTGACCAACTGGTCTGGCTGCTCTCAGCCTGTGCCGGAGGCGCCGGAGGGGTTGAGCTCTGGGTTTCCAGGATGTGATCACGTCTTCATTCCAAGCAGCTCTGTAGCAAACTCTCTCTGAATTTCACTTCTTACTCCAGCCCCACCTGATGAGTCAGGATCTTCCTGATGACTGGGACAAGCAGCCTGTCAAAGTTCTGGTTGGGAAGAACTTCGAAGAAGTTGCTTTCGATGAGAACAAGAATGTCTTTGTGGAGTTCTGTGAGTATCTTCCTACCTGATTCCAAGTAACTGGTGTGAAAGGGGTGTCAGGATACTGTGTGACCAGGATTAGGGAGAAGGCCTTTTGCACAGTCTGGGCCCTAAAGGCAGTGCCCTGATTGCAGAGATGTGTGTGAACTGGCTGGCTGGGGCTGGGGAGGGGTGGGGCCTCGTTAAGTTGTTGGTGTAGCTCTGTCTCTGTAATTAACAGATGCCCCCTGGTGTGGTCACTGCAAGCAGCTGGCTCCGATCTGGGACAAGCTGGGAGAGACCTACAGGGACCATGAGAACATTGTCATTGCCAAGATGGACTCGACAGCTAATGAAGTGGAGGCAGTGAAAATCCACAGCTTCCCCACACTCAAGTTCTTCCCTGCAGGCTCTGGCAGAAATGTAAGCCAGGGAGCAGGGAGTGCTCAGCTGCCTGAGCTGTGTTCTGACCAGGCCTTTGGGAGGGCTCTGCAGTCTGTTGGGATGGAACTCACTGAGTCTACAGGACACCAAGACCCTTTGTGGGGGGCTGGGCTGTAGGAAGGAGCTGGTGGGAGATGGGAGGTGGGAATGGGGAGAAGAGGGAGCATAGAGGACAGTGTGCTCATCTGCAGGCTATTCTTTCCTCGCAGTGATCTCTGAAGTCTAGTGGCTGAGCTGTTTTCCTTCGTCTCATATGGGTGAAGGTGAATTTTTAAATTCCCTTTTGCTTGGCATGTTCACTGTTGCTCAGAAAGAGAATTCTCCTCTCCAGGGGCCTTGGTCTGTAGTGCCCATAACCAGCATCCTCATGTTTCTCCTGTGTAGGTCATTGACTACAATGGGGAGAGGACACTAGAAGGCTTCAAAAAGTTCCTGGAGAGTGGAGGTCAGGATGGGGCAGCAGCCGATGATGTGAGTAATGGGAATGAGCCACTCTGGGCCTTGGGAACACGGAGCATGGGCTGGATCTGGTGCTGCACCTGAATCCTCAGTCCTGAATCAGATCCTGGGCGGCAGGAGAGGATGTTGCTGGTAAACAGAAGTGCCCACATGAGTGACCTGTTCAGGGACAGCCTGGCTGGCTATGAGCCTGCAGTGTGGGCTCCTGTTCTGAGAGCACCCAGTGGGTGGAAGCAGCTGTGGCTGTCACTGCTGGGGCACTGAGGGCTTGTTTCCCTAGGGAGCTCCCTCAGCTCCTGGAACTGGGCTGTGTGGTCAGTGTTCATGTCAGTCTATCTAGTTGGAAGCTCCTCACCTGTGGGGTGGAGGCTGTTACAGGTGCAGGTACCAGCACCAAGAGTTGCTCATCCTTAATGTCCTGAATCCAGAGCTCTTGGTGGTAGTAGTCTTTGGATGTTCAGTTAACATGGCAGCAGACAGCAGTGACCAGAGCTGCTGCTCTGTGCTTGGTTCTGGACCTGCCTCACTGTGCCAGAAACCAGGAGCTGTCTGTAACCTCCACAGGATCTTGAGGACCTGGAGACAGATGAAGAAACAGATCTTGAGGAAGGTGATGAGGATGAGCAGAAACTTCAAAAGGATGAATTGTAAAGAGAAGACTGATCTACATCACCCAAAAAATCAGACACTAAATTGGCTGCTGTGATGCAGCCCAGCAAGTCAGAAACCCATTAAGATTTAAAGCAGAAGGTGAATGACTGGAAATCCAGGGATTGGCTTTTAAAGTAACACTTTACCCTCACTTGCCTGTACACTTGACTTATCTTTTCTTTCTTTTGGCTTTGGAGAAGGGAGCTGTCACTGGGGAGCCAGCCCAGCCTGCTGGGCTCATTTTTTATTGTGATGTACTTTTTTTGTACACAGCTTTTGTCTGGAGTATTCTGTTCTTTTGGGCAGCAGGAGGGTGAGGTGGTACCAGGAGCTTAGTGGCCTGACAGTCTGGAGCCTTGCCACTAACATCTTCCAAGAAAGCTTTTTTCTTTTTTTTTTTTTTTTTTTTTCTTTTAAAACTAAAGCCCATAATTGATTTCTGCACCTGGCAGGGCCCTCAGTGGCCTCAGCTGTTCTTCCCTGGGCTCAGCCTCCAGTATATGTAGGGCCAGAGGGCTGATGGCTTCCTGGGGAAAGGTGTGTGTGAAGGTGCTTCTCTTCATGCTGGCCAGATGTTTCCTTTCCCCTCTGCTTTAAGACAGTTGGAGATGACTATTGCAAACACCTGAAGGGTGGAATACTGTGTGCACTGGCTGTGGCAGGCTCTGAGGGTGGGGGTGGCCGCTGGCTCTCCGGCGCTGTCTCCATCCTTCCGATCAAAGGCAACACTTGCCATCCCTTTCCACGAGTTATTTGGGGTGGGCTGACCCGGCAGGGGGTGGTGGGGGAGGGCCTGATAACCAGATCAAACAGGACACTTGCAATTACTGGGGTTGGGGATGTGACCGGGGGAGTGCCTCAAAGGCCTGAGCTCTGCATCAGGCTCATTCTTAGCATTCTGCTACAATAACATTGGTACTGAATTTGATGGCCAAATAAAGTTGAGATTTTAATACTATCATGGCTTTGTCTTAATCAGAGCACAGAACACTGGAACCTGCCCTGGGAGGGGATCAGAGTTGTGGGGTGAAGCTTTGAGGGACTCTGCCATAATGGGGGTATCAGCTAATGCTCCATAATTGATGGACAAGAACTTCCCCATGTCCTGTCCAGGTTCCATGGGCTGTGGCTTGGCTCTGTGAGTGTGTGGCCCCTATGCTAGCTGGCTGGGAGAAGGGACCTTGCTCTGGAGCAGTTAACCAGGGCACGCTGGGGCTGCTGCAGCTCTGCCAGTCAGACTCACATGACCCTGTG